AGTGCTATACAACAATCACCGTTACTTATTTCTAAAACTTTTTCACCACTGCAATTAAAAGTCTATAGTAAAAACTCCCCATTGTATTTCTCCTCTCACTCCAATCTACAGTAACCTCTAATCTTTTTTCTGTCTATAAATTTGACTAGTTTAGACATCTGATATAATAGAATCATACAATATTTGCTCTTTTATAACTGGCTTTTTTTCATTTAGCATAATGTTTTCAAGATTCGTCTATGGTGGAACAGGTATCAAACTTCATTACCTTTTATGGTTGCATAACATCCTATTGCATGTTTATGCCACATTGTGTTTATCCATTCAACTGCCGGACTTGGGTTGTTTCTATCTTTTGTCTGTTAATCATGTTGCTGTGAACACTGGCTACAAGTATCTGCCATGAGTCCCTGTTTTCAAATCTTTTGAGGATATACACAGAAGTTGAATTGCTGGGTCATATGGTAACTCAACAGCTAGCTTTTTGAGGAACTACCAGCTTTTCACAGAGGCTGTACCATTTTACATTCCCATCAGCACTGAACATTGGCTTCAATTTCTCCATGTCCTTATGAACACTATTTTCTATCCTATTGATTATAGCTATTCTGGTGGCTGAGAAGTATTGTCTCGTTGTAGTTTTCATTTGCCTTCCCTAATGATTAATAATGTGGCAATTGTACCACATTATTTGTGCCATGGCCACCATCTCAAGGGGTGGTTTCTCACTTTCCCTCTTTCAACTCTTCACTTACTCAATTCTTTCATGTACAGTTATCCCTCAGTAGCTGTACAAATTGGTTTCAGGATGTCCACAGAAACCAAAGCCTCAAGAAGCTCAAGTCCTTCATACAGAATGGAACAGTATTTGAACGTAACTTACACACATTCTCCAGTATGCTTTGAATCATCTCCGGAACACCTGTAATACCTAATACAATGCGAATGCTATGTAAATAGTACTTACACTGCACTATTTTTATTTGTATTTCTTTTTATTATTTTTTTCTTATATATTTTCTGTCCACAGTTGATTTCATAAATGCGGAACCTCTAGATACAAAAAGTCAACTGTACTTACTTTCCATTTCTTTTTTTTTTTAAAAAATGACTATTCATTTTGCCCATATTTTATAGTTTTTGTAACTTTGAGTTGGCATTTTGTTTTTTTAGAAAATTTACTTGTTTCTTTCTGAGAGAGAAGAGAAAGAAACAGACAGATAGAGACACTCTCAGTAGGGGCCTAATGCTGTGATGCACCCCCAAACAGCCCAGGTCATGAGCATACATGTACATACACAGTATACATGGGGAGGCTCCAGGACATGATCCTCGAATCCTCCATGTGGGTCCAGTTATATCACTGCTATGCCACCATGTGGCCCCACCATTGCCCATTTCTTTAATTGGGTTGACTTTTTGGTGTTACATTGTAGGATAAAAGTCTATATTAGAGTATAGATATAGACGTTTACCAAATACAATGTTTGCCAGTATTTTCTCTCATTCTGTGGGTTGTCTTTCTTTCTTATGATTATATCCTTTGATGCACAAAGTTTTCTTTTTTAATCAAACCTAATTTTATTTTTTTCTATCTCTTCCTCTGCCTTTGGTATCATATTAAAAAATCCAGTGCCATTCAAGGTCATGAAAATTTCCCCCTGCATTTTCTGAAAATTTTACTGTTTGGGTTCTTAAATGTAAGGTCACTGGTTTATTTTAAATGAATTTCTGCATGTGATATAAGGTCCATCTCCATTCTTTTTTACGTAGCTAGCGTTTTCTCAACACTGAGTACAAGTAGATGACAATTTATTAGTCAAAGAATAGTCTTGATTCTAAAGCTACATTGATTTTATTATTGGTGTGATGAAGTGGAAAGAGAGAAGTCTCTGATAACCAGTGTATGGACATGCTACAGATACAGTAGTCTTGTAGTATTAGTACAGTGGCAGCACTCTAGACGTAGAGAACTGTCATCACATCACAGTCTCCAAGTACCATTTATCTTCATTAACAGCACTTTTAGAGCTAAACATAAACTTCTGTTTACTGTTTAGTTGTGCTTTGTTTTATCACAAATAAACTTTTCTTAGACCATTTTAAATTGAGATAATCATCTTTTTTGATCTTACAAAAGGTCTTAATATAAAAAGGATAAGAAAACTCTGTTTTCCAAATATGTTCACATTTCTTTCCTTAGGTTTGTAATTTACCTTTTAACTGTTATAAACTGTAGGAGGCTAACATCTATAGACAGTAAGAATGCATACCTTTTCCGTTACTGTTTTCTGCTTTATGTGACATGCTTAGATAAGGCTTTACTGATTAGGTATTCAACCATTTCTTGGTATTTTATGGATTCATCTTTTACATTTAAATAGTTATATCACATAGAATATATCACTGGCATAGGGTACAAGGCAGGATTGATCATAATTTTTTCACCAACGCTGTAATATTCCAAAATCTTAGTCTAACACTAAGAAATAAAAAATTTACAACAGAACTCACCCAAATTACTAAGTAGACATTCAATATAGTCACCCTTATCTGGAATAAGAAAAACTACACTTTTATATTTTAGAAATGTACTTTTCAAGGTTTTTTGTTTTTGTTTATTCAGAAAATATCATTTCCATTCAGTACAGACATTAGATCTTTATTTTCTTCAAAAGAAAAAGAAGAATGATCAGGTCAGCCGGTGGCGTGGGGTTTGGGGTAACGAACTCCCACATGGCTAAATGTGGCTTGAGTCCCAGACTAGTAGGTTTGAAACTCACACCAGGTGCATGTGTGTGTATGACCAAAATCCCAGGAGAATAATGGCACCAGCAGGTGGTGTGGTGGTCAAAATACTGGACACTCCCAGATGGCAGACCATGGTTCGAGTCCCGGACTTGGTGGCTTGCTTTCTCGCTTTCCCTCTCTTTCTCTCTCTCTCTCTGGTCAAATTCAAATAAATGGATGAATAAATAAAATTACATAATTTTTTAAAATTCTTTTTTTGGAGAGGTTTTTGCTATAGGGCACATGCACTCGCCAGAAAGACAGAGACAGAGAGACAGAAAGCGAGAAATCATCCCCCAGGGGGGACGGCCACACCACAATCCCTTCTCCTCCATTCTCCTCTCGGGATCTTGGGCACGCACACACACGCACCTGGCATGAGTTGAAGCCACTGGGTCTGGGACTTCAACCGCAGTCGACTACATGGGAGTCCAGCAACACAGCCATTACACTAACTGCTGGTACCAAAATTACATAATGCTTTAAAAAAAAAAAAAAAGATTCCCAGGAGAATGGAGGAGAAGGGATTACAGCCATCCCCACAGGAGGCAAGGGTGAGGGTGATTTCTCACTTTCCCTCTCATTGTTCTTTTCTGTTTCTCCAGTGAGCATGTGTACCCTACAGCAAAAACCTCTAAGAAAAAAAAATTTTAAGTAGAAAAGGAAAATGATCTACACATAAAGATTTTCAGGAGACAGGAAATGTATATAAGAGGATCCAAAAAAACTGAGATCTATTCTCAAGTTCAGGAAAGCCATAACTGCACTGACCAATCTATTCTTCTTTCACAAAATAAAGGACAATTTCCAAGAAAGGAGTCTAAAAGACAATTCTATGGCAGATGTTTTCCTACTCTTGATATTCATACCAGCACGTACTCTACTGACACACAAGCAGTGTTTTCAACACATAAAATTAAATGATTATTATTTTTGTCTCTTGCTATTTTATTATTTCACTAGACTCAAAAATAATCCAATTATTTTATTAGGGAACAGAGTTGCAATTTCTACTATTAATTTCAATTTTCGTACCTTTAAGGGAGAACAACATTGATAAACCCATACTTACTAAAATTCTGTAAGTTCTACATTTCCAGATTGATGATTATTTTTTTAAGGCAATTATTTCAAAAATAAAAGTACAGCTTTAGTGAAAAAAATTACCCCCTACCCAAAAAGATATTTCCTCCTCTAGCAGAAGGAATCACTTCTTTTACAGTTTCACCTAACAACTGGTACATTCCTCTACTGAAACATTTATATCCCAGCTACTTTAATTAAATGATTATTATTTTTGTCTCTTGCTATTTTATTATTTCACTAGACTCAAAAATAATCCAATTATTTTATTAGGGAACAGAGTTGCAATTTCTACTATTAATTTCAATCTTCGTACCTTTAAGGGAGAACAACATTGATAAACCCATACTTACTAAAATTCTGTAAGTTCTACATTTCCAGATTGATGATTATTTTTTTAAGGCAATTATTTCAAAAATAAAAGTACAGCTTTAGTGAAAAAAATTACCCCCTACCCAAAAAGATATTTCCTCCTCTAGCAGAAGGAATCACTTCTTTTACAGTTTCACCTAACAACTGGTACATTCCTCTACTGAAACATTTATATCCCAGCTACTTTAAAGTGTGTCCACCTATCCCGCTAGCCTGAAACTCCTTTCATTCAGGTTGGCCCCTATATATTCTTTCACCATTTCCAGTATCATTCAAGAACTTGGCACACAACCTAATAATGAATATCACGATACCATCTAAAATGAATGACTACACATAGCTCGTCCATGAGCAACTCCTCTTCTTTAGTCATGTCATATACTCACCTGTTTCTCATACTCCTAAAAATATCTACCCAAGCATGGTCTTATTTACATGAAGATTTGGTTTTATTATAAAGAGTGTAAAGCACAACTCTTCAAAGTACCATGTTGTATTTTAGCAAAATAACTTATACATACATGAAATAAAATACCCTTGCAAAACAGATTATTAATGTTTTCCTTTTATAAACAGGAAAACTAAAGCTATAAGAGATTCAAAAATTGCCAAAGGTAACAATACTAGTAGATTACTGAGCTAGACACTAACAGAGAGCTTCTAACTACACATGGTGTACTCTTCACTACATGAAACAAAGAGTTTTCAGACAAATACCTGTTTAACAAAGCATCAGTTGTACTAGGAACACTTACACTGACCCCAGCGCCCTGTTCTTGGGTTCAAATAATTTGGATAAAGACCATTTGGACGATCCATTTTCTGAAGTAGTTTCCGAATGTGCATGACCTGAGCATAATAAAAATAAGAATGCAATTAACAAAAACAAGTGTCATCAAAGCTTGACATTAATCTAGGTTTGTGCTTCTTCCTCATTCAGAACCTACACCCACAATAACAAAAGCAATATAAAGAGTACAGATAGAAATCATTTAAAATCCCAACGTTCATTACCAAGAAACTGCTATCGGAAATCTCAGTGACGAACATCATTCCAGACATACTCGAGATGTAAATATTAAATATAAGAGCAGAAATAACTTTGTACAAGTAGAATTTTCACATGACATTTGTATAAAAATATTAATTGAATTTAATAGATGAAAATAAAGTATTGAATAAAACCAAATTGCTGAATTTTAAATATTATTCCCACTATAAATATCCCTACATTCCTAACATTCCAATTTATAAAAGATCTAAGATTAAAAGGAGGAAAATCACAAAATATATGAACAGGCTAAGGACTTTAGCAGAGATTTATTTTGATTCCTTTCTAAATTGGTTAGATTTTGTAAGGTTTTCTAATGATAACCTTTCTTCCTATTTTATGACATGAAATATCAAGTAGCTCTTAATTTTGTCAAAAATGAAATTTGCACAGCTGTGTGATGGCCCAGTGGTAACACAACTGGACCCACCTGGGATTTGTTTCCTGGAACCTCCTTGAGCGTGTACATGTGCCCATGATCCACGCTGGCTGAGAATAAGGGGGGGAGCAGAGTGGAAGACCCTGCTCAAGTGCCTAACTCTCTGCTCTCCTTTCTGTCTCTCTCATATAATAGATAAACTTTTCTTGAAATGTCATTTGCAGTTGTGTTTCTTCTTGCTGCTTCTAAGTGAGTACTATGTGTTAGGGCTTCTATTTTAGAGATACCCATATGTTAGATTATCTGCCAGTCATAAATTTATTATTTTAATCACTTTATGATTTGTGTTTTTACTCTAATTAACTCTTGTTTTTTAAAAAAATATTATTTCTCACAGAGTGCATACACTTGCAAAAAACAGACAGAGAAGGAGAAAGCACTCCCCATGGGGCACGGTCATACGGCACACTCTTTGCCTTTGTTCTGTCATCCTGTTTGGGATTCAGGGCATTATTCACATATACCCAGTATGTTTTTCAAGCTACCTGGCAAGGACTCAAACCAGCGTCAATTGTGCAATACAGCTTCTTAAGGACTAGATCACAGGACAAATCCATCTCTTGCCCTTATTCCACAATCAGTTTTCAACTACGTATCATCAGCTCTTTGTTGTTTTTCATTTTATTTTATTAGCTATAGAAACATAGTATTTTGAGTCTCAATTTGTTTCTTTAGCACTATAGCCTTTTTGCATCATTTTATTATTTTGTTTTTTAGTTCTAATTTTATTGGATTAAACTTCTATTATAATATGAATTACTCACAGTGATGTTTTCTTTTGACTTTTTAAAATACAAAACTAGGTTATTTATCGGTCTTTTACATGTTATAGAATCCTGCTTTTGTTTCTGCTGTATATTTGCATAACTGCCATGATTTCTCTGGAATACTGGAGTACTATCTAATATCCTAGGGTCTATGTGTTCAAGCAGGATAAAAGATAAGAATTCTCAGGGGGCTGGCAGGTGGCGTAGTGGTTAAGAGCACTGGACTCCCACATGGTAGACCACAGTTTGGCGGCTTGCTTTCTCACTCCCCTCGCCCCCTTATTCTGCCCCTTTCTGGCCAAATTAACAATAAATAAATAAATAAAGTTAAATCAAATAATTCTTTAAAATAAAATCTTTCTAAAAAATAAAAGATAAGAAAACTCTACTGGGGCTGTGGGCAATTGGATAACCTAAGCACTGATCTAATTTGCAGCATTAACAGGAAATACCAAGAATCTGGTGACTTTCTTTCCCCAATAAGGATTTAGAACAAGAGTAGTAAGCAGACTCAGTAACCACGGAAGAATTCTTTGTTTTTGTTTTTTTTTTTTTAATTTTTTTTGTGTGTGTGTGTTCCCTTTACTGTCACATGTTTATAACATTAAGTTACAGCCTTTCCTTCCTTTAATGCTGTTGATAAATGCTTTGATGGCCTTTATTATTTTTGCTGTTGCTATTTGCTCAGGACAGACAAAATTCTGTGATCTGGCTCGATTTTGCAGTCTTTACCTAAAAATTCTTAACTGATGACATATTTCATACATAGAAAGGGATAAGTATAGATTCTACTCCAGTTTTAAAAATCTAACACTACAAATATCTTTGATGATCTGTTTACCTCTACCTATTTACATATCACTGCTTTCATCTTATATGTATTTATAGTCTTCAATTTCATATTCATTATTATCCTGACTTTATTAAAGCCATTTCTGAATCCTTAAACAATACATTATTTAACTCTTTTGAACTATATAAAAGTATCATACTGTTTTAATGGATAAATATAAGCATTATTTATTTTCACTATATTTATTTCACTATATTATGTTGTATTTTATTATAAATTGCTAATACAAAGTTTCTGTGCATCTGATATAAATGTTTATACCAAAGAATGAAATTCTGGATTACAGGATATATATATTTTTACTAGATAATATTTTTATTTCCTATTTTAAAAATCATTCTTTACCCCGAGGGTATATGCTTCTTATTCTAAAAGTATAAAAGTTTTATATTTTAAAATTAGTCTTTCAGGGTCAGCAACTGGTTAAGTGGTTAGTGGTTAAGGTGCTGGACTCCACATGGCCGACTGTGGTTTGAGTCCTGGACCTGGCAGTTTGCTTTCTCACTTTCCTTCTCTTCCTCCCTCCCTCCCTCCCTCTCCCTCTCCTTCTCTTTCTCCCTCTCTCTCTCTGGTCAAATTAAAAAATAATGATAATAAATAAAGTTAAATAATGATTCTCAAAAATTAATCTTTTAATCCTAAAATTTTTATAATCCATAATATTATCTTGTTATAACAAGTTTAACATGAATGTTGGTCTGTTTAAGGGCTTTTTATCCAGCTCATCACTATTGGTCTCTTTGTCTCTATATTACACTGTTAATTTTGATAATTAGGTAAATGCAAATGTATCGAAGGTGCTTTTCCTCAGAAGTTTCTTGATGTTTCTCTTCTATACACATTCTGAAAGTGTCTTGTCAAATTCCATTTCAACAAAACAAAAAAATGCCCAGTAGGGATTTGACTGACATTAAAATTAATACTTTAGAACAATGTGTAGATGAATGAAAATTTGATTATATTGTTTGCCTAAACATGAATATGATACATCTCCATTTATTTAGGTCTTCCTCAGAGTCTTTTAATAAAGTACTGAACTCAGGCCAGCAGAAGGTGTGATGTTTTAAGGTGCTGGATTCCCACATGGCCACCCGCAGCTCATGTCCTGGCCCCGGCAGCTTGAAAATCATACCAGGGGTATGTGTGCATGTGTGCCTGAGAGGAGAATGGAGGAGACAACATGGTCACCCACCATAGAGGGTGATATCTTACTTTCCCTCTCTCGCTCGCTCTGCTCCAGTGAGCACATACACCTCATGGCAAAAATCTTAAAAATAAATAAATAAAGGATTGGGGCCAGCAGTTAGCATAATGGCTATGTCACTGGACTCCCACTTAGTCGACCGTGGTTCGCATACTGGACCCAGTGGCTTAAAACTCACGCTGGGTGCGTGTGCGTGCGTGCCCAAGATACCGAGAGGAGAATGGAGGAGAAGGGATTGTGGTGTGGCCATCCAAGGGATTGTGGTGGTGCCATCCCCCCTGGGGGGGGGCGGTGATTTCTCGCTTTCTATCTCTCTGTCTGTCTCTGTCTGTCTGGCGAGCGTACGCGTCCTATAGCAAAAAAAAAACTCTCCAGAAAAAGAAAAAAGAAATAAATAAAGGATTGAACTATACCTTTTGTTAGATTTACAGGAAGCTTATATTTCTGTTCCCACCATATGAGTTCCTTTTTATAAAATGATATTTTATTTCTTTTTGTACTTATTAAATTTGTACTTCTAGTAGTTCAAATATGACCTGTCTTAATATAATAGGAGGGTAATTATGTAGTCTGTGAGTAATTATTATTTTCTTTCTTCTTCTTCAATTCTTAAAACTTTTGTTTGGGGACTAGCAGTTGGCATAATGGCCATGTCGCTGGACTCCCATGTAGTCAACTGAAGTTTGAGTCTCAGATCCGGTGGCTTAAACTCATGCTGGGCACGTGCGTGTCCAAGATCCCGAGGAAAATGGAGGAGAAGGGACTGTGCCATGGCCATCCCACCTGGGGGGTGACTCCTCGCTTTCTGTCTCTCTGTCTCTGTCTGTCTTTCTGGCAAGCGCACGTGCCCTTATAGCAAAAACCTCTCTCAAAAAAAAAACTTTTGTTCACTTTTTTTTCTTGCCATGCTGGCTAGGAGCTTACATACAATTCCTAATAGTATTGGCAATAAAATTAAAAAAATAAAAACTTAATTAGTGGTTACAACTTCTCAAATAGTAACAATAAATATTTTAAATACGTTCTACATAGATAGGAAGGACACTTCTTTGGATAATTATTTTTTTAAAAAAAGATAAAGATTAGAGGCCTGATAAAAATTTATTTAGGAAGTCAAATAGTTTAAGCATTAATCAAGTCTCTGGGAAAATCTTCAAGCACTCCTTTATAACCAACACAGAAAAGAAAACTAACCTTTTTGTAGTAAACCAGGTCCCCTGTCAAGTAGCTGAGGTGGACAAACTCCATATGCAGTGTACCAAATTCAGCCAGAATGCTGCTGCCTGCAGATGCCCAGCCCCAGTTTCGCCCTACTCCACTGAAGGAAAGGGAAGATAAAAGGAAACAGGATTGGGAAAAGATCAAGATTTTTTTTAAATGAATACATAAATTTTAAATAAATCTCTTATAAATATTAATTCTAATGCAATAGCTTATTTCTATCTAAATTTTATTATTTAAAATTTCTGGATGGGTAATACACCCATGTTTTAAAGACCCTTTGTATTTCATCCATCCTCACCATCTTTCATTTCACTAGGTCCCACTAATATTTTCAGTAGTTTATAAATTTATGGGAAATGAAATTAAAACATGAATTTGGATGCAAAAAAATTCTGAAAGTCATGCATGGTTTTTTCCATAATATTCATTTTCTATGAATTTTTTGAAGACCCTCTACATATTACCATAGAATCTGTTATGCATACAAAACCAATCCAAATATATATTTTTATTTTCTTCTTCTCTTAAACAAAAGATATCAAACTATACCCACTGCTCTGCATTTAATGTTTTATTCTTAAAAATGCACCTTAGTGGTCTTTCCATGTCAGTTCATGGTTTTTCTCATTTTGTTGTTTTTACAACTGCACACAATTTCATGATATTAATGATTTTCGATGGAAATATCCCATCCCAGAGGAACATGAAAGTGTGAGAGAGCATTTCAGTTATCTCAAATCTTGCAAGTGCAATTTGCATTATTATGCTAGAATCAAAGCTATAAAATATGCTATAATCATCAGAACAGTGTCATCATCAAGACCTTTCCTGCCCCAAATGCTGACAGTGCCTATGTGAAAATTACAGCTCTACTTAAATAGACAGTTTATTCAATTAATCTGCTACAGATAGTCCCTTGGGATATTTCTAGTGTTTTGTTATTATGACAATTTTTATAGTGAATAAATTTGTATATATTTCATTTGTTCAGATACTAACTGTAAGATGTGTTCTTGCTTTTTTTAAAAAAAAATGTGTCTTGTAATTTTTTATTTAAAGCTAGACCATACAAATGAAAAATTGTATTTGTTTTGGATAATGTTATTGTTAGGAAGGTTACATTTCTTCGCAAACAGAAGTTACCTGTAATCTGAAACAGGCAGATTACCTTGGTTTTAGGCTTTGTTAAAGATACTCAATTGCAATTTTATCCCTCCTTCTAGACAATGGCCCTGTGGGAACTCACTTGATAGAGATCTTTACCTAGGCCATTTTATCTTGACAGACTTAAATACTAACCACTGTCTCTCAGGACCATGTGGTCGTTAAACTTTCTCCTTAACCCCCTTTAGGATCCTTTTGTAATTTCTGCTGTGTTGCTTTTCAGTCGTGTGTAATGTGTGCGCAGTTATGGAATTATCAAAGACTTAAGGGAATTTTGTACAAAAACTTGGGGGCTTTTTCTCTGAAATTCCTTCCTGAGATTTTTTTGTCCCTCATCTCTCTCACAACTCCAAGACCTGACGATTGCTTCCTCTGCCTAAAATTACTGCCACTTTAGGCTTACCCTCAATTGTTCCACACAATTTAGAACATGTACACAGGGAAAAGGCAATATTTATATAGAGATGACCTTCTTCCAAGATCACAGCCCCGAAGTCCTGCCTGAGTTAGTTGCTCTGCAATGACTTCCAAATCATTTTACTTTATATATTTTGTCTAGCTTTTAAGATTGTTTTTGGTAGGAGGGTAGTCTGATAAAAACTATTCCATGATTGGAATGGAAAGCCTAGATTAATTATTCAAGCAGTTTATGAGATTACTCCTATAAAACTCCAAACTATTCACAAGAATCTTTTCTTACTTTTAGGAGAAAGTAAAAATACAAATCTTGGAGCTAGCAGGTGGTATGATGGTTAAGGCACTGGACTCCCACATGACTAAACACGGTTGAAGTCCTAGACACAGAGGCTTGAAAATCACCGGGCACATGTGAATGAATGCCCAAAATCTTGACAGGAGTAGGGACTTCGGCATGGCCATCCCCCCTGGGAATTGATTTTCACTTTCTCTCTCATGTTCTGTCTCTCACTGGCAAGCACACACACCCTATGGCAATAAAAAAATTTCTTTTTAATCTTTTCTTATCTCACATCCCCCTGTATACTAGTAATTCATTTAATATGCTAAATGTTTTGTACCTATGTTGAAAAAACATTAAAATAGACATCAAGACATATCATCACCTTGTTAAAAGTTGCTTCATTATTTGGTGCTATTTTTACATTATCTTTGAAAATACAGAAGCCAAATAATCACTGACAGATGAGAATCAAAGGACTAAAGATACAATAATTGTATAAGGCAGTCATTAGTTTTACAAATATTAAGTCCCTGCTGTGCTATAGGATAGTGACAAATCTCTCATAATGAATAAGACAATTTTAAATAGTGATAGTAGCTATGAAAAAATTAAAAGAGGGACCAGCAATTAGCATAATGGCTATGTCGCTGGACTCCCACATAGTTGACCGCAGTTCGAGTCCTGGACCTGGGAGCTTAAACTCATGCCGGGCACGTGTGTGTGCATGCCCAAGATCCCGAGAGGAGAATGGAGGGGAAGGGATTGCGGCATGACCATCCCCCCTGGGGGGTGATTTCTCACTTTCTGACTCTATGTCTCTCTCTTTCTGGTGAGCACATGTGCCCTATAGCAAAAAAAAAACCTCTCCAAAAAATAAGAAAAAAAAAATTAAAAGGGAAATAAGATATCGAGTAAGTAGGGATAGAAAGTGAGTTACAACAAAGGTTCTTTATGTATTTTATTCAGAGAAAGGGATTCCAAAATGACACAATTTGAACTGAGACTTGAATAATAAGAAGTTAGTGATGAAGAAATGGAAGAGAACTCCCTGCAACAAAAAGAACAAATGCAATGGCCTTGAGGGAAAGGAAGGGGACTAATGTGGTTAGAGCCCACATAGTAAGGAAAAATGAATAACACAGAATAAGGTTAGACGGCTAAATACAATCTGGACTGTGCAAAAATTCTGTAGGCTGTGATAAAATTTTGGAATTTTAATTTTAAGTATGATTCAAAATCATGGAAGACTAAAGAATATGACAGAAAATTTAATAGTGAAACATATCATTTAGAAAGATTACCCAGATTTCAGCCTGTCAAATGGATTAAAGATTAAAATATTTAAGTACAAACACAAAGCCTGGAAAGTACAACAGGTGGGCCAGTCAGTGGTATGCTGGTTAAGATGGCCAGATCTCAACTGGTCAACTCTGCAATTTGAGTTCTGGATTTGGTGGATTGGAAAACATGCTGGGGATAAGTGCATGCGTGCCATAAAGTCAGACAGGAGGATGAAGGAAAAGAGACTGTGTGTGGTGTGGCCAGTCCCCTGGAGGGTACTTTCTCACTTTCTCTCTCTCCTTCTCTCTTTGTTAAGCACATGCACCTTACAGCAAATTTTAAAAATACATACATAAGAAATAAATAACAAAATTAAAAAGCTTAAAAATTTAAAAAAGAGAAAGTCTAGTAGTTTACTAGTCTCTGCAATACCTTTCTGGCCAAAAGTCACAAAAAAAAAAATCTTACAGACAATATAGTCAGCCACTTCTGAAAATACTAAATAGTAAGTTTTTTATTCTTTATTTTACACATAGCCTCACAGGACATATCTAAAATATCAAATTTAATACCTACATATATTATAACAACTCAGAAAAGTAAATCCTTAGGCATAAGATACAACACTGCTGAGGGTAGAAAAATTCTATCTAAGAATGTGAAGTTGCCAAAACTCAAACAGATCATAATTTTATGCAAGCATTAGGGTTTCCTAACCAATCAAAACAAAAGATATAGATATTAAACTATATGTATTTTTATATACTCATGGAAGATGAATTAACAGAAAAAATTAATAAATACCAAAAAACAAAAATAAATAACCAAAAACTGTGATGTCTCTTTTGACTGACAATTGGTAAGAGGATTTTAGAAATGCTTGTTATACTTTTGATGATTTACACAGTAAATCAAACTAAGTACCCTAAAATCATACTACACTGGTTTAATAATGAATCATCTATATTATGGTTTGTACTTCATTCAAAGTCACTTGAAAATCTTTAATCAATATGTTTAAGAAATGGAGTAAAGCATTTAGTGAATTGCAACTATAAGAAAGTTTGTTAACATGTTATTGAACATTTTTTTTGAAAGGTTTTTGCTATAGGGCGTGTACACTTGCCAGAAAGACAAAGAGAGACAGAGAGACAGAAAGTGAGAAATCACCTCCCCCAGGGGGGATGGTCATGCTGCTATCCCTTCTCCTCCATTCTCCTCTTGGGATCTTGGGCACGCACACACATGCGCCCAGAGTGAATTTAAGCTACTGGGTCCAGGACTCGAACTGCGATCAACTACATGGGAGTCCAGCGACATAGCCATTATACCAACTGCTGGTCCCAACATGTTGTTGAAATTTATGCCAATGATAGGAATAAAAAAAGAAATTAAACCACTCAGTACACAGGTTTAAATTGTAATATCCTGATTTGCAAGAATAATTTTTTGATGAAACTCCTGTTTTCAATGACATCTATATATATGTATTGCATATAATAGTGGAAGGAAACTGAGAAGTGCTATGATTTTACATCATCTAAATTGGAATATTAAAAATAGATTTTATTTTCTATGTGAAATATCTAATATTTCTAGAAGCAAAGTGGTGGCATTTGTGAAAATACCTAGTTTAATATCTATACAATAATGTATAAAAATCTACAACTTAGAATATCCTGTATGTAAGCAGAACGTTTTTCTTTTTTATTAATTAATTTTAGTCTTATTATGGGGCACTTGTGCTTGCCAGAAAGGAATTGAGAGAGAGAGAGAGAGAGGAGAAATCATACCCTAGGGGGTTTGCTATGACAGGTCTATAAGTTATCTTTACTGTATGGGTCATAAACTTCTTTACCAAGTTATGATTCTTCTGAAGTTTTAATCCACTGTTCCAAGTGTTCAAAAAGATTTTCCTTACTTTGTAGCTGATAATTTTATTAAAGTCC